GTTCAAGGATCATATTTTCAATTTCTGATGTTTCCGTATTGTCGAGACCTAATATCGATTATATTTGACCTATTTTTGTTTGGTGGCGTGTTTGTATGTTTATCAGACGAGCGGAGCGAGTCTGATAATCACAATTGAGCCACCAAACAAAAATAGGTCTAACCTATCGTAGCTTGGATGCTTCAAGACCGAATAAACAAAAATAGGTCTAACCTATCATAGCTGCGTGAAAAACGTGACGTATCTGATGTGTTTGACGTACGCCTTTGATGTTTCGACACGCCATTTGAACGTTGATTCGTCATAAGCGTGAAAAACGTGACGTTTTTGACGTTTTTTTACGTTTCTGACGTTGGTGATGTTTTGACACATGTTTTTTCATAAGACGTTGAATGCATTCGTCGAAAGCGTGAAAAACGTCAAAAACGTCACGTTTTCAGGTTTCTGACGTTGGTGATGTTTTCTTAGCAATGACGACTAAATATCTAGACTGTCTGACGAGGTACTTGACTTCGTCAGAAGCGTGTACAACGTGACGTTTTTGACGTTTTTGACAATCTCAAACAAGCCACCATAAAAAAATAGATCCAACCTATCGTAGCTTGGATAGTTCAGATCGATATAGCATCAAACCCAACCCATGATGTCGGCCTACTCTCTAACCTATCCTGTTCGAATTCTTGGGACTCTGAGGCTTCAGGATATTCTTTGGTCAATCAAACAAATTGATGTGTTAGTGAGGATATGTATCACATAGATGGCAGCACGATGCACGCTACTGACGTCTTTCTTACCACATTTTTGATAATTCCATAAACATTTTCAACGTTTTGCAAGAGTCAAGGAAAGTGAGTGTATGAACGTTCTACCTGTCTAACCCATCCTGAATCGGATGTGTCTAACCTTCCGTGAATTGAATGTGTCCAGAGAGCGGTATAATATCAATCCTCACCAATCTCATCGATCAATTCTTCGACCTATCCTATATTGAGCTATTAGGCAGGTCAGTGTCGGTAGGATGTAAGCATTTGTCATATATCCGCCCCTCATCATGAATCGTTCTTTCACACACCCTGTTTATTCTGCTCCTATCGCCTTTCAAAGTTTACTCAATCGTATGATTTCGTTTTGTGACGTCATTTATCAGTTTGTTGTGGGTTTTGAATGTATATTGGCCTGTTCGAGGTAAGTTTGACGCATTTGACGTATTTTCGATGCTTGCAACTCACGTTTGATGTTTTCGAAAAATAATATTCGACGTCTGTTTAACGAATGTATAACGCATAACGCGTACGACGCACTAAGTGTGATGGATGCGTCACGAGATCGTCACGTTTTTCCATGCTGTTTCACGATTTTTCACCCTATCTCATGGGGAAATTTCCCGAGAATGACATTATGATGACCTCAATATGTCAATAAAAACAATAATGACAATTCAAAGGAACAATGTGTGTGGAGTTTTCCGTGATATTTTGTGGGACTCAAAAGTATAAACATCATACAGGCAGTACCTGCCTGACCTCAGGTATTTCGCTAGTGTTCAGACTGCCAAGTGATTGCCATAACATTGAGCCGTTGACCTGTAATCTGAGATATCATATCATGAGTAGAACTGAGGAGATAAGTGTGGTGATTTACTTCTGATATGGAAATACGTTTTGAATGTTTCGTTGCACGTTTATAACGTTTCGTTGTACTTTTTCGATGTTTTGTCGTACGTTTTAGAATCCCTCCCGCCATCTGTCACTCCAATCGCCGCGTATGAATAATATATATTATATCATTACTCTGACCTTGGGCAGCTCAGTACCTCACCTTTCATGGAGAACATGTCCAATGTGGTTTTTTTTTTATCGGGGTATTGTGCAATGTCCTTTTTTAATTCGAATTGGAGCATTTAAAGTTGAAATTGTCTAGTGACGTCATCAACGACAGAGGTATGTCTGAAAGAGTTGAATATATTGGCAAAATGCCCATATCAGAATGACATCGATGTATACTGCATCATCTAGCATTGCTCTTCTAGCACATGAGATGAAGCGTTATATTCTTAGAAAGAACGTTCAGATACTGTTGTTTAATATGGAGTGAATAAAGAAGTATCTGTATTTTGTTAATTATGTTGTATGTATACTAACTCATCAGGGCTCTTCAACCCATGAACGATGATGTGTATTGTTCACTTCATAATTCCTACTGGTGAGCAACATGAGATTGAGTTTTATACAGTGTGTCCCACTTACCATGCTCACCATGGGTATCTTTTCAACGGTGATTAAATTCGGTGTTTTATTGAAAGTAATTAACAGAGTTGTAACGATACAACAAGTGGCGACGAGGAAAACAAATTAGAAGCCGGAAGTTCGTTCTGTTGAAGAACAAACGCTAAAGTGATCACACGTGGTGCCGGAAAAATGGCGAATTTGAAATTCGCAAAATTTAATCCTGATTTTGACGAGTGGTCCGTGTACGTGGAGAGACTCGAACAACATTTTACCGCGAATCAAATTACTGACGAAAGGATAAAAGTGGCCATTTTATTGAGTTCGATCAGTGCGGCGACGTATACCCTATTACGAGACCTGTGTTACCCCACTCCACCAAAAAGCAAACAATTTCAGGAACTTTCCGATATATTGGCAAGCCAATACGGCATACACGTGAGCGTTTGGCGAGAAAGGAGAGCATTTTACGAAATCAAACAGACTGACGAAAAAGTGTCCGAATATTATGCGCGAGTGAGGAAAGGCGCGATAAACTGCAAATTCGGAAACGATCTGACAAAAATTTTAACGGATCGTTTCATGAGTGGACTTAGTGTTGGAAGAATCTACGACCGGTTGTGTGAAGAAGGCGAGAATACCACTTTGGAGAAACTGCTGGAGCTGGCCCAAAAGGTAGAGAATGTGATGTCTGCGAACCTGACAAATCCCAACAGACATACCAAAAACGTCGTGCAAAATTCAAACTGCCCGCCATTTCAAGACAGAGGAAATCACCATCAACAGCGCCATCACAACAGGTATAGCAGTAACCAAGGTAACCAACACAGAAACAGAAGCACAGAACGAAAACCCAGATGGCAGCACGGACGGAGCCAAGGACGCAGCACGTCACGCGGTTTCAGTGGCAGCACTGACAGGCATCAACGTCAGGATACGTCAGACGTCTACAGTCACAATGTCAAATGTCAACATTGCGGCTTATGTCATAGAGGTGATTGTGTTTATAAAAATGTTGCATGTAGAATTTGTAAAAAAACAGGACATTTAGCTAGGATATGTTACAAAAATAATAGAAAGGTAAATTTCGTAGAGGAGGAGGACGACGATGACTTGTTTTATTTTGATATTGTAGACCAAATTGATGATAATTGTATTGCAGATACTATATTCCAGGTTGGGGAGGACAAGGCAAACCCATTCAAAATAAATGTGACAATTAATGGAAAGGTTCATGAAATGATCATGGATAGTGGTGCAAGCATAAGCTGCCTCAGTAAGAATACATATGAATCACATTTTTCTCATTTTAGGTTGGAAAATGATGGATTGCTATTGAAGGGATATGATGGAAGTTCTTTTAAACCCGATGGATATTTCAATGTGAAAGTAATGTATGAAAATTGTGTGAAACCAGTTAAATTCTATGTTGTTCCTAAAGGATCAGCAGACATTTTGGGTCGTGACTGGATAAGCAAATTTCATATAAAAATTGATTTGGTAAATCAAATTTCTACCAGTAAAGATATTGAGGAAGTAATAAGTAAGTACCCTTCTGTGTTTACTGACAGGTTAGGTAAATATAAACTCCAGGAGATTTCATTGAAATTGAAAAACAATTCAAATCCCGTTTTTTGCAAACACCGAACTGTTCCCTTAGCATATAGAGATAAAATGGAAGACGAGTTAGATAAGCTAGAAGAAATGGGAGTAATCAAACAAATAGAAAACAGCCAATGGGCAACATCACTTGTTCCAGTACTAAAGTCAAATGGAAAATTAAGAATCTGTGGTGACTATAAGACCACAGTGAACAGGTATTTGGAGGAAGTTAAGTACCCACTACCAAGGATAGAAGAAATATGGGACAAAATTAAAGATGGTGAAAAATATTCCAAAATAGATTTGCAGTTAGCATATATGCAGTTCCCAGTAGATGAGGAATCCAGTAAAATCCTTTGCTGGAATACACATAAAGGTTTATATGCTGTTCAACGATTAGCTTTTGGAATAACCAGTGCAGGTAGTATATTTCAGAGAGAAATGGAGAATTTATTCAAGGGTATAGATGGGGTGGCTAATTTCTTAGATGATATTATTGTGACCGCTCCTAATACCATGTTACATATAGAAAAGCTAGATTTAGTTTTCAGTAAATTGAAACATGCAGGCCTTACGATCAGAAGAGACAAGTGTGAGTTCTTCAAAGACGAAGTTGAGTATCTAGGATTCAAGATCTCAAAAGATGGACTCAAGAAAACTGAAGAAAAGATGGCATCCATAACAAAGGCAAAAAGACCAACAAATGTAACGGAAGTAAGAGCATTCACAGGGTTAGTAAACTATTATCATAAATTCATACCTAATGTTGCTCATATTTTATCCCCAATTTATAACTTGTTGAAAGAAGATTCAAAATTCCATTGGTCAAGGGACTGTGAAAATGCATTTAACAGAATTGAACAAGCAATAGCTTCAGATAGATAGATAGACAAGAGAGTCTAGTGCTGCACACGTGTTATTGTTTCAGCGAATAAACGAGCTATTTTCGGTGGGAAAAACTCGGAAGTTTTTATTGAAATCGGTATCATAGTGACCGTAATAGTGCGTTAGATGTAATGACAGTGTCGATAGTGCCATTTGAACTGAGTTAGTGCCCTTAAATCTTGAATAATCCCCAATCTGTGGAGTACCTACAATAAATTCCAAAGCAAATAGAGCAAAAACAATATTCTTCAAGGCAAACCCAGTTTTTATCGATATTTAGTTTTTGCGATGGTTGGCGTGTGTACCATCTGCTCGGTGGGAACTTCCAGCAGGTCGAACCCAAGTTTAAAGTGTCAAGGTTCATGTGGAGGGGAATTCCATATGAAATGTGTCAAGCTACCGCCTAGTTTTTCGGAACTCTCGACTAATACAGGGATCTCATGGAAATGTGCGAGCTGTTTGCAGAAGAATGATTCAGCGCTGCTTCTGGACCATATGATGCAGAAAATGAATCCACTGTTCTCGAGTGTGGCAGAAATAAAAAAACAAAACAGTGAGATGGTCAAGTCTTTAGAATTTTATGGCGGGAAAATTGATGATTTCACAAGAAAAATGGAAAAATTTGAGGAAACTGTAAAGGCCGTGGAAAATACTCAAAACGAAGTTAAGATGCTAAGAGAAGATAATAACAGAATTCGAAATGATCTAGAATTTCTACAGCAACAGGGTCGTATGAAAAATGTTGAAATAAGAGGTGTGACAGAGAAGAGGGGAGAAAATATACTGAGTATTATAGCCAAGTTATGCGAGATAATTGATTTCAAACTAGAACGTGATGACATCGACTCATTACACAGGGTTAACTCTTTTCAAACCCCTAATAAGTCTACTGAACCTAGATGTATTATTTTAACATTTACCAAGAATGTCACGAAAAATATTTTTATGCAGTCTGCCAAATCAAATAGAGAGAAACTAAGAGCAAAACTGATTGATCGGGAATTTGAAGACAAACCGATATATATAAATGAACACCTTTCACCTGGAAACAAGGTGTTATATAAAAAAACAAGAGATCTCTGCGCAACTCAAAATTTCAAATTTTGCTGGATAAAAGACTGCAAGATATTTGTCAAAAAGGCAGATGGAGATCGTGTCATTCAAATAACAAATGAAGACTCTTTGAACAAATTGAGAAAATAACATTCCACGTCTCATCACCGAATTGAACACGATTAACTCCTGTGAACTCTAAACTAAAAATGGGCCTTAAGATTTACTACCAAAACACGAATGGGCTCAGGACCAAAACAACGGATTTTTTTTCATCAGTCTGCAGTATGGAATATGATGTCATATGTATTACAGAAACATCGTTGGTAGATGGAGTCTTCACTTCTGAACTTTTTCCAGACCAATATACTGTTTTCAGAAGAGATCGTAACTTAGAAGTCAGTGGTAAAAGTGACGGTGGGGGTGTTCTTGTGGGGATTAAATCTAGTTTGTTTGGCCAATGTATATCCAAATGGCACTTTGATGGAATAATTGAACACGTCTGGGTGTCCATAGCGTTGACGGCTGGTAAGAAGATTAATTTATGTTGTATTTATGCACCTCCTCATGCAACTTTACAAGATTACCATATTTTCTTTGATAATCTGGAAAGACATGTAAACAATAACGAGAATGGCAAATTTATACTACTAGGCGATTTCAATTTACCTAATATTCGATGGAGTTATGATGAACCTACTTCTGATTCTTGCCTGCCTAGCAGTGCTGTGGACCCAATTAGTCAATTGTTCGTTGATAGTATAAGCTTTCTTAATTTTAAACAATACAATTGTATTCAGAATGTCAACAGTAGATGTCTTGACTTAGTTTTGACAAATTTCGTAACTTGTCAGATTGCTCGTAGCACTGTCCCACTGGTTTACGAAGATAAGCATCATCCAGCACTTGAATTTGTACTTTCATCCGAGCAACTTAAATTGAGATCAAAAGAATGCTACACAAAACTGAAGTTTCATGATGCAAATTACAACATGATAAACGATTTTATAAATAGGCAAGACTGGGAAGTCATATTCAGAGACATCAATGTTGATCAGTGTGTAGATGCCTTTTATAATAAGATACATGAAGCTATATCTTCTTATGTACCTGAGAAAATAATCAACAAGAAATCTTTTCCAATCTGGTTCACTCGTGCTACCATTGCAAATATAAAAGAAAAAAATAAATTACATAGAAAATGGAAGAAATACCAAAATGCTGTAGACTATAACCAATTTTCTATCTGTCGTAGGGAAGTGAAAAATAACATAAGAAATGATTATAATGCATACATCACTAAAACAGAACTTGGAATAAAAGATGACTTGAAATGTTTTTGGTCATTCATATCGAATAAGAAAAAACACAGAAATTCAATACCCCAAGAAATGTTTCATGAGAATACGAGAGCAACTAATAATGAGGAAATATGCAACTTATTTTCCGATTTCTTCTCAAGTGTCTATATATCTAATGATACAAGAGCAGAAATTACCAAGGTTTATTCATATTCTCAACCTATCATAATAAATAATATAACCAATAAACAAATAAAAGATGCAATTGAAAAGCTCGATATCAGAAAAGGACCAGGACCTGATAAAATTCCAGCTCTGTTCATTAAATCTTGTTGTGAAAGTCTGCTCAAACCATTGCTAATTATTTATAATAAATGTCTACGGAGTGGATATTTTCCAAAAGTTTGGAAACGTGCTCAAATTGTTCCAATATACAAGTCAGGTGAAAAAAATAAAGTTGGGAACTATAGACCAATTTCTCTTATCGACCATTTTGGTAAAATTTTAGAGTCAATAATTACGCAAGAACTATTTTTTCTCGTGAAAAATCATATTGATATTCATCAACACGGTTTCTTCAAAAAGCGCTCGGTGACAACAAACCTTGTTCCATACATTCAAGATATTTTAGAAGATTTCGGGAAGGGATCATCAGTGTGCTCTGTGTACACCGATTTTTCTAAGGCCTTTGATAGAGTTCATCACCCAACTCTCATCGTAAGGCTCGAAAACTTCGGTGTGCACGGGACACTATTGAAACTGATCTCATCCTACATATCTGAAAGAACTCAATATGTGGCCTTAAACAATGTCAACTCTACAAATAAAGATGTCACCTCCGGGGTGCCTCAAGGGTCACATCTAGGTCCCTTATTATTCAGCATCTTCCTGAATGACATAGGAAGATGTTTTCGTTCCAGTAAATATTGTATCTTCGCAGATGATTTGAAGATATACAAAGAGATCAAGTGTGACCGTGACTATGAGCTACTGCAGGATGACATCACTGCTTTTTCTGAGTTTTGTATTAGACACAAGCTGCTCGTCAATCCTGACAAATGTATGATGATTAATTTTTCGCGCTCTATCACTCCTCCTCATAAAGAAATACTGTTGAATAACACTTGTATCAAATCATCGGAAAATGTGAAAGACCTAGGAATTATATTAGATGTGAAACTGTCATTCGAAAATCAAATCGATGCTATTGTGCGTAAAGCCATGAGGAATCTTGGATTTATAATGAGAATGAGCAAAAACTTTCAGAATTTGTCAACTATCTTAACATTGTATAATGCTATTGTTAGACCAATATTGGAATTTTCCACGATTGTCTGGAATCCATTTTATATTAAATACACTTCACGTATTGAAAGAGTGCAACATAAGTTGATAAATTTCATAAATTACAAATTTAACAAGCAGCGTCACTATTATTCGTATAAGTCAAACCTAACTTTTTATAATCTCAACTCCCTAGAAGATAGAAGGATATTTTTTGATGTTATTTTCGTTTACAGGCTGGTCAATAATATGGTCGACTCTGAATATTGTCTTCAGTATTTTGAGTTCAATTGTAGTCATTTTGGTCTTCGTAATAGAAATATTTTTTTGATAGATAGGTATAGGTCTAATTACTTATTAAATTCGCCAATGCTGCGTTGTTGTCTAACATACAATAATCTTGTCAGGAGTAGTCAGGATATAGATTTTTTTGGTCAGAGTCTCAGTTCGTTTAAACGGATTGTAAAATCATATATTTTTCGCTCAAATCAGTGAAAATTTATATTCCTTGAATTGTTACATTAAATTAAATTGTTACATCATCTCACTAATTTAGCTAAGTAGTTATAGTTGTAGTATAGACTTTCGATTTAAAAGAATTATATTATATTTTTGTTACTGAGGGCGGCCTTGTAATAGGATAGCATATGCTATCTGTTGGGCAGCCAAAATACTAAATAAATAAATAAATAAATAAAAGATACATGTCTCATACATTTTGACCCAAAGTTGCCTATTATTATAACAACAGATGCCAGTGATAAAGGTATTGCTGGAGTATTGAGCCAAATTAAGAACAAAGAAGAGAGGACTGTAGGATGTGTATCACGCACATTGATGCCAATTGAGCAGAAAATGACTACAGTTGAGAAGGAAGCATTGGCTATTTATTTCACTGTCAACAAATTCTTTTATTATTTATGTTGCAACAGTTTCAGGATACGTACTGACTGTAGAGCTTTAACAGCACTATTTGGAGAACATCGCAGTATCCCAAAGATGTCAGCAAATCGCTTACAGAGATGGGCTATTTTTCTAGCATCATTCAATTACACTATAGAACATATAAATGGAAAAAATAACCCAGTAGCAGACTATTTATCTAGAACACCCTTAGAGAAGATTGTAACATCCGAAGAAGCAGCTGGCAGAGCAACATATATAAATTTTACAGAATCCATAAATACATGGCCCATCGACAATCAAGAAGTGAGAGCATTAACATCAGAGGATGATGAATTAAGCCAAGTATGCAAGTATATTGAAGATGACCAATGGCCCAAAAAGGTGAGAGAAGACTTAGCACCATACTATCACAGAAAGAATGAGTTATATGTAGACCAAGGAATACTAATGTGGGGTCATCGAATAGTGGTTCCAAGAACCTTGAGGGAGAAATTGTTAGCTGAATTACATACCAGTCATTTTGGCATCCAAAGATGTAAAAATTTGGCCAGATCATACATTTATTGGCCAAGAATTGATTCTGACATAAAAAATGAGGTTAGAGGTTGCTTACCATGCCTGAAAAATAGAGATGAACCACCACAAGTAATTAACTCATGGCCAGCAACAGAAAATATGTTTGATCGCATACACATAGATTTCTTACAGGTACGTTCCGACATGTGTCTTATTCTGGTTGATTCCTATACCAAATGGATAGAAGTTTTCCCAATGAAAACAACAACAGCTCAGGAAACTGAAGAAAAACTGAGGCAAGTATTCGCCACATTTGGATTACCGAAATTAATTGTCTCAGACAATTCACCTCAGCTAGTTTCGAAAAGTTTAAAAGAGTTCTACCGAAGGAATGGAATCAAGCACATGACTAGCCCACCATATCATCCAGCTAGTAATGGAGCAGCGGAAAGGCATGTGAGAACTTTTAAATCCAAGATCAAAACATCATTAGAAGATGAACGAAATCATGGAACCCCTTTGACAACATTAATCTCTAGATACCTTTTGACTTATAGAAATACCATAAACAACATTACTGGAAAGTCCCCAGCAGAAATGGTATTCAACAGAAAATTACGCACACGATTATCCCTACTGAAGGAACAACCTAACCAAGAACACATAATGGACATCCCACCAGACCATAAATCAAACAAGATCAAATCATTCAACAAGGGGGATGAAGTCATGGTTAGGGACTACCGTAACCCAAATAAAAGAACATGGGTAAGTGGTTTGCAGGACGTGGACTTTGATTTTAATTCTGTTTCTGTACCTGTCAGTGAACTGGAAGGTGCTGAACATACCCCAGCAGAAAAAGAAATTCCACCTGAACCATCAAACAACAATCCAGAGAACGCAAATTCTGAACTTCAAAAGTCTGATTTAAATATTTTGCCTCCATCAGAGGATACTAATGCCCCAAATCTAATCAAAAACATTTTATCAACACCCCAATCACAAAATTTTGACATGGAACCTTGTACCTCAAACCCACAAAAAATCACAACAGTGAAGAATTCATATGCGAATCCAAAAAGGACATCAAAAAGACCAGAAAGATTCAAAGATTATAATTTAGACGACGAATAAAGGTATCCTAAATTCTTTTTTTTTTCTGACCATATGTATATTTATATACATACATGATTTTTGTTTGTTTTGACAAAATATTGTAATGATATTCCCCTTGGAGGGGCTCTAGAAACATCAGCAGGAAGGCAGGAGTACAACGATCATCCTGTATCACGCATCCCCGATTGCTCTCCAACCTCTCAATGATTCCTACATACACCAGCATATTTCCGAACACTCAATATATGCCGCAGTGACAAATAACGTCACAGAAGATTCTGGAATGTTCTGGAAACAATCGATGGAACAATTAGAGTGAGAGGTTTTGTTCTAAGAAGCTTCCAGAACAAAAAGAAGGAGACGGAAAATCATTCGAGAACGTTCTCGACCAAAGCCTGCCATGTGTTCTCATATATAAGACCGCCGAACAACTGCTGTCAGTCAGTCGAGCAGCGAGTGTCAGAAAGACAGTTATATACCGCGTGATATAAATCGTTTTACATAAATAGTAGTTCTAAGTTCGTTATAAATTAGTGTTTCTATAGTTCAAATAAATCAGTTCGAAAATAAATAGTGTCGTGTTCGCTTCTGCACCCGAATAACGTAACAATTGGTGT